TGACATAGTAAAGGGTGGATTTAGCTCATACTTTTCCAAAGAACCAGTCAGGCAACCAGAACCCACATCTCGGAGGTTCCCCCAAACCTCCAGAGAAGCTGGACGTGGTTAGTCCCACTGCCAACCCTCCCTTTTCTGTTTTGTTTTTAATCCTCAGTGATCTTTAAACAACAAAAGAACACACATACAACAACAAAACTAAAATTATGGAGGACATTTTTAAGGAAGAAAATATTAAAAGCATACTTAAAAACTTTGGAAAAATACCAGGAGGAAATATAAGGAGGAAATTCATATCATCTATTATACATAACCAACCAGAAATAAAACATTTCAACATTTATAAAACAGATTTGGGGGTAAATTTTTTAAAAGTTTAGAGTATATATTATATATAGTTTCATCTTGTCTTTTCACTTAACATTATCCCATGTTATTAAAAATTTTTTAATATTATGTTGCAAAGTACGAATGTATGGTGATTTCTTTACCTTCCTTCATTCCCTTTGTTCTTTCTTCCCTCCCTCCCTCCTTCCTTCCCCTAAGCATTCCTTCTTTCTTTCTTTTTTCTTTTCTCCCCCATTTTCTCTTTCCTTCCTTCCTTAGCTCTTTCCTTCCTTCTTCCCTTTCTTCCTGATTTCTTATTCTATAGTTTAATCAAATTTACACATTCACACCATTGAAATAGCCAACATGACCTACAAGGTAGGAGAAATAACGGTCCTCCACCGTATTTCCCACTCCCCAGAGGCAACTACTTATAATTCCTTTTGTGACGATTGTGTTATTTATTTCCTTATACTAAGTAATATGCTTATATTGGAAATTCTGGATTTTTAAAAAATGTTTAGCTTTTATCTACTGGCTTTCCACCACAGAACTCCTGCCCCAACACACACACACAGCTCCTCTCCCACACCCTCCCATCCCAATAGCATTGTGGCTTTGATTAGATTAACATTCAGTATTCAGATTATTACAACCACATAAATGCTATTCACAACCGAGCCATGTCTTATTCTACAATGACCTTTCTTTTCCTGTATTTTGTTTCATTTTTTTCTCCCCAAAGTTAAAGGAAACAAACAAAAGTAGTTTTGTTTCTAAGTAGTTATTACTATCTTGGCCCCAACCAAACTCTCCTCTAGTTGAATAAATCTCTTCTCCATATTTTCAAATATTCGGTAAGCTGTCATTTTCCCATTTCTGTGGAAATCACTCACAGGACACTGAGCCTACTCCTGTCCACGCTGGTTGCTCCCGAGGCCTGCTGCAAAGCAGCAAGTTATCTCCCTTCCCTTTCACTGAGGGTTTTCTTTTGCCTCCCTCTTGTGCTGGACCTTCTCTTGACCTAGATCTTGGGTTTCCTGAATCCCATTTCTTTACTTACCTGGGTTTACGTTTACTTCTGATGGGACATCTCCTCTCAGCTTCCTGAGGAACAGGACATATAAAGTAAATATTTTACTTACATGTATAAAAGTGACTTTTTTTTTTTCCTGCCATTTAATTAATTATTTGGCTATATTTAGAATTCTAAGTTAGAAATTATTTGCCCACACTATTTTGATAGCATTTCTTCCTTGTCTTCTAGTTTTTACTATTGTTGAGAAGTCCAAAAACATTTGGATTTTTTTTTTTTTTTTAACTAAATCATCCCAGCTGAAACATACAGAATTCTTTGCACCAGTGCTCTATTACCATCAAGCACTTGGTAAAGGTTTTCCACTTGGAAACTTAGAGCTTTCAATTCAGGGAAATTTTACTGGATTTTTTAATTGGATTTTTCCTGAAGAATTTTTCTTTCTTCAATGTTCTTTGTCCTCTGTAGAAGTCTTATTATTCAGATGTTAGTCTTCATAGACTGATCTGTGCCATTAATTCCTGAGTCTTGGGTGCATTGTAAATTGGGTGGAATCTTGGATCTCCTCCACTTCTGACAGATGTCGTTTTCTCAAGTTTTTGTCCAGCATGAGAAATTACTTCTCCTCTAGCTCCTTCAGAGTTTCCAAGATTTTGCTGTTTTTGTGTTCTCTATTATTTTCTCCTTATGGATTTAAGTCTTCACAAACTCTGTCAGTTTAGCATAATTTGAGGAGGAAGCTGAAACAGATTCATGTGTTCAACTGATAGTCCCGTAATGCCTTTAAATATTTTTTATGAAGCATCATCTAGTTTGTTTAAATTCTTAAACAGTTGTAACTAATCCTGCAATGAACATCCTGTGTTCACAAACCTCTGTATCAGTCAGGATTCAGCCAGAGCAGCAGAAGCGGGAGGAGGTATGTATTAAAAGATGTCATGTGAGGAACTGGCCTATGTGATTGTGAGGGCTGGCTAGGCAAGTCCAAATCCGTAGGGCAAGCCGTCAAAAAAAGGAAACTGGAATCTGGGGCATGGGCTGCAGCTGCTGGCCACAGGCAGAATCTCTTCATCAGGGAAGCCTCAGCTCTGTCTCGAAGCCTTTCAACTGATTAAACCAGGCCCATCCAGATCCTCTAAGATGACCTCTTACTTAAAGTTAATGGATTATGGCACTTCATCACATTTGCAAAATACCTTCACAGCAATGTCTAGATTAATGTCCTGACTAACCACAAAATGTGGTTTTAATGGTTAGATCAGGGAGTGCAGTCACACACACACTCACACATTTGGTTAATTGCTATGGCACTGTAATTATTGTTTAAGAAACCATCTCTCTCAGTTCCTCACTTGTAAATGGGATACTTACCACCTACCTCCTGGGGCTGCTGTGCATATTAAATGAGATGATCCTTCAGTTGATTAATGTAAATTGTTGTTATATATAATGATAATAAGACGAATCAATTACATTTTCAGATGCTTCCTATGTTCCAGGAAATGTTATGGGCACTTTTCAGGTGTTATTTCATTCATTCCTCACATAAGATATGAGGAATTTAATCTCAGAAAGGTTAAACAACTTACACAAGGTCACAAAGAGAATACCCTAATTTCATCTGCCAATTAGTCCTCAGACCCTGGGTTTTGATTTTTAAGGCTTCCTCTCTTTTTCCGTATAAGTCAGGTTCCTAGCAGGAAACTGATGGCAAATTTAAGCTGAGTTAGTCAAGAAAGTTGAACATGGAGGTGGGTTGGATTCAGAGATAATAAGAGATTATGCAATATTCTGGGGCTAAGAACACATTAAGCGTGACGAAGAGAAGGGAGACACTATAGGACCACTTTGTAGCTGGTGCAGCCCCTCAAGGTAGCTTTTGTCATTCTGGGAACAGCAAACAAGGTCTCTCCCTCAGTCTAGGCTGAGACAAGGACAGCCTTAGGCTTATGTTAAGACCGAGATAAATATTTGTAACAACCAGAGAAATCGGAACACTCTGTTTCATTTCTCTCAAAATGGAAATATTGCCAAGAAACAGTTGGTTTTCCTTTCCAGTTCCTACTTTGCAATCACATCACGTATTCTCACTCCACCGCAGCAGCCAGAGCAGGTCATTCACCCCCAATGAAGTAGATTACATGCAAGCACTGGCCATATAGATTTCTGAAGGGTGAATCCCTACGTCTAAGGACTTCAAAGCACAATGACCATGCACTTTCTCTGTGCTTCTCCCCAACCAGTACCTTCATTAATAAGATTGAAACATTTTTATCTAGTGGTTTTCTTGACTGCAAATTCCAAAAAATAAAATAAAACCCATGGCATTCCTAGTTTCTTATTTCGGCATTTCTTGCACAGTTAACATACATTTCTATAAATATGTAATAGAACCTGTAAACAGACGTGAGACCTAAAAGTAAGGATTTCCAACTAGGATAGGCTTAGCTGTCTGTATACCCTAATAAAAGGGTAGAGGATTGTCAAGAAACCTAGCTTCCACCCTGTCCTGGGCAGAAAAATCCACAATAAATAATGCTTTCTCCAAGACTGAGCAACTTGCCTCATCAACCTCAGTTTTACTAGCGCATATGTTCCTCCTATGCTCTGTGTAATTTCTTGTCCTCAAAGAAACCTGGTGCTTTTACATTTTTTCCCCTTGGGTCGGTCTATGTACATGGTGATCCCTCTGTGATTAAGGGTAAGGAAAAAGGAAAGAAAATACACCTGCTCTATAGTAACCAACCACTGTGGCTGCCAATTGCGATGTGTGTGTGCAGAATACCAAAGTGAGCCCCGGGGGGTTTAAAATGTTGTGGAGCTCAGGGCAGCCAACAGTGTGTAGGAGATGATACAAATTGTTTGGCTTAGGTCAGTGATCAAAATGGATCATGAAATGTCAAAGGAGCTGAAGCTCTGGGAAAGGCAAACATTGAAGGTTTCCCTTCTGGTCTCTTTGGTTAATGATTTTAGTTATTAATTAGAATAAAAACCAACATTTACTTATTATGTGCCAGGCATGTGAGTCAGTAGAGTATTATTCCCATTTCATAGGAGAAGAAACCAAAGCATGGAGCCATTCGATCATTGCTACAGTGTCACAGCCCGGCTTCTAATCCGGAGAGGCTGATATCAGAGCCAGGGTTCTAATCATACATTCATTCATTCATTCAACAACCACCTTGTGAGTGCCTGCCGTGTGCGGGGCATTATTGCAGGAACTGGAGACTGAGCTGTGAATGAAACAGACACAAGACTGGCCTGCCCTTTGGAGGTTACCTAGCTGCTCCCTACTAACAGTGGTCTTCCAGTCATGTTGGTGCTAAGGGTGGGCTGAGGGAGGCTGGGCTTCCACTGCAATAACGAGGCAGGGGGCTTGGTAAAAGTGTCCTCAGTCCTCCAAGTTGGGCTCCCTTGGTTTCAGCTGATGTAGGACATCAACACAATTCACGTAGACAAGTTCCCTCTGACTCACCGCGCGGAGGGGGGGTCTGCTGGGTAGCTCTTGCAAACTTCATTTCCTCTTAGCCCTGCCCATTTCACTTTCCAGTTTCGGTTTCGTTTTCCTAAAGCCAGTTGCCAGAAAACAAGGGAAAGGAACAGGGAGATGCCTGGGTATATATTGGTCTCTTCGGAGCACCTTCCACGCAGAGGAGGAAGATTTCCGAGGAGCCCAGCCGCCTGAACTGCAGCCTTACAGCACAGCTGAAGAGAGCCCGGCAGCCATGGGGTGAGCCTTCTCGGTGACCTTGCAAATGCCTAATCGGGCTTGTTGTGGAATGCAGATCCTACGCAGGGTGCTCCTAGAAAGCAGGTTCCCTAACTGCTTTGCTTCAGAGTTTGTTTATAGCCTTTAGCGGCTCCTCTGCAGGCTGCTTGTTTACTCTGGTTTTCTGCCTCACAAGGTCAGGCTTCCTAAGGGGGACTCTCCCTGGGGAAGCGGAGAGCTGAGCTCGCAGGGGAGCAAGGCTGGAAGGGAGACGACAGATTTAATCAGGCAGGTTCTTCATTTAAAGGTGGGTCCAGCCCGGCCGGGTGTGGCTCAGCGGTTGAGCATCGACCTAGGATCCAGGTGATGGGGGTTCGAGTCCGGGTCAGGGCACATGCCCGCGTTGCGGGCTCGATCCCCAGTTGGGGGCGTGCAGGAGGCAGCTGATCAATGACTCATCTTTGATGTTTCTCTCTCTCTGTCCCTCTCCTTACCTCTCTCTGAAATCAATAAAAGAAAATAAAGGTGGGTCCAGAGGGGATTATTCCTGGAGACTCTTTTTTGTTTATTATTTGAAAGAACTGAGGAGCTTTTCATAAGGTTTTTATTTAACAAAATAAGAGCAGTGTTTAGAGTGTTTGAGCAGTGTTTAAAATGCACTCAGGGTAGCAACTCATTTCATGTGAAGGTGGGAGTTTACTTTTTTTTCCAAATTCTGTTTTGTTTGTTTTTAACTTTTACTTTATTTTTTTCCATCACCATTCATATACCCTATGCCCCCCCCTCCCCCCAATTACCACACTGTTTTCCTTGTCAATGAGCTCTTTCTCTTTTTTTTCTGTTTGGCTCAGTCCTGCCACCCATCCATCCCCCCACAGCTGTCTGCCTGCTCTCTAACTGTGAGTCTGTCTCTATTTTGCTTGTTAGTTCAGTTTGTTCATTAGATTCCACATATGAGTGAAATCATACGGCACTTGTCTTTCTCTGTGCTTATAATTCATCTCAGGTTTGCATGAGGACTGACAAAATATTCATTCAACAGATATATAATTTACCCCCAAATTCAACTGATTGACTAGTCATCCTCTCTGAAGTATGAATTGGAGATGATCCTCTTACACTCCAGAAACAGAAGTTTGCCCTGGGGAGGAAGTGTTAGCTCACTGGGTAGGAAGAAAGCTTTGTGTTTTCTCCAGAGGGTGGGGTGGCCGGACTGGATGCCTAAGCCTCAGTCCTGGGAGGTCAGAATCCAGGACAGCAGCCTCAGCACTCACCTCCTGGAGGACACATTGCCATCCTCCTCGAAGTTTCCTGGTCTCTCTTCTGGAAAGATATTTTTTCTGCTAGTCTCCATGTTTGCTTGATAGAAAAAATATATATATATTTCAGACATTTCCAGATGCCTGTTTCTATACTGACTCAGAATTGTTTCTACTTCTTAGAATTTCAGCATTCATTGTCTTCTCATTGAATCTTTCTCATGATAATACAGACCCATCAGTCTCTCCTTTACTTTTCTTTGATTTTTTAGCTATAGGCACCCCCACCAGGCATTGCCCCCCTGTGCTTTAAGACAGTGGTTCCCAGTTTGAGCTCAAGTGTGAATCACCTAGAGAGTTTGTTAAAGACAGATTCCTGGGCTCAAATCCCCACAAGCACCCCAGATTCTGATTGGCTAGTCCTGGGATTAGGGCCAAGGGTGTACATTTCTAACAAGGTCTTCCTCAGCGGTGTTGGTACTGTTCTCAGACACTGCGGGGCAGCTTGAGCTCTGAGCCCTGTGAACACCGTCACTGTAGATTTCATCCAGACCAGAAGCTAGGCCCCCCAAAAAATGTTGTGCTATAAACGGTTAGGACTTCTAGAGGCAGCAGGAGCATAAATCACAAGTCTGAGTCTAGGAAACAAGTATCTGGGACCAGCTTCTGATTTACCAGTGGAACTAATAATCCACAATTATGCAGTGAAATTGGTTGCCTTTTGAATGGCTGCTCAAAGGGATTTTACATAAGTGTATACATTTACGTTAAATGTCTCTATCCTGCAAATGCACAATTAACTGTGTGCGCTATATGTTTGAGATAATTTCAGCTGTATTCACTATCTCTGTTTCTTTTATAAAATGAGAAAGGAGCTAAAAAGCTCCCATGCTTAAGGAAATCATCCTGTAGCCTCACTGAGAAGGAAGGTGGGTGAGACTGGACATCAGCTGTTCAAGGGGAGGCTGCTGTCATTGTGGCAATGTAGAGAAACAATCTGGGGCTATTCGTGAGTTTTAACCTATTCCTCTCTGATGTTATTCCAGATAGGGTTTTTGTTCATTGGTCTGTTTGCTGTTTCTGTTTGGTTGGTCTGGTTCATTTGGTTGCTTGTTTTGAGGACCCACACTAAAAAGAAATCTTTCCCGAAGAGTTGCAAGGGCACCCTAAGTGAGCAAGAGCATTTCCCTAAGGAAAAAAGCTAGCTGTCTTGTCAGCCTCCTCTTGTAGCCACACTTCTAATCCCTCATTATAAAAGCAAACCACAGAAGAGGAAAAGCAAAATTTCAAAAAAGTATTAGGCCACAAATGCAAAATTATTAATAAATCAACTTGATGAGACATGTTAAGAACAGAAATCGACACTCTTAAGAAGTTGGAGGGGGTTATATTTATTCCAAAATAAAAATGTAAGACATTGCTAACATAATATTATCAAGGTAGGAGGTAGGATAATACAAATGTAGGGGAAATGAGTAAAAATTAAGAATGGTTGAAATTAAGATTTAAATGGTTAAAATGGAGAAATTGGAAACAAATAAGGGTATAGAATGTCAAAATAATAAAAAAATAACAAGACAAAACCAATGTGATAAAAAAGTTTGAACAAAGAAAATCAATTAAGGATATATGCAAAAAATTGAAAGTAATAGAGACAAAAAAGACAAGTTAAGGGGAACTAAGGAATTGAGAATGTAGACGATGCAATGGAGTTGAATCTCAGAGGGACAGCCGAGATTAAAACCAGAATGGCAAACCATGAAAAGAAAGAAGAGAAAATTGTGAAGCTAAAATCTCCACATTCAAAAGTAAAGGCTAGGTAGGAGGAAGAACAGAAATAAAAGGCAATTAACTAGGCTTCCCCAAAAGTACAGAAAGTGTCCACTGGACCCAGTTCCCGCAGCTCTGGCCGCCCCTGCAGAGAGCAGGGGGCCGGGGGCCTAACAAAACCGCCTCGTTTAGGGAACCTGCCCACTGCCCTCTCCCTGATCTGCTGCCCGGTCACCCGATTCCTGCTTCCCCGTGCTTGCACATATGCCAAAATACAAAACTTAAAAAAAGGAAATGCTGTTCTTTTTGATGGAGGTTCACTCCCTTTCGGAGGAGAGCCATGTTGACCGTGCTCCCTGTTTCGTGCCCGGTGAATCTGTGCTGTGTCTCAAAACGCCCATCTTTCTGCTTTTGCCCACAGTGAGACCACCGAGAACTCCTTGGAGAGCAGCCTACGGCGGCTAAAGTGCCATTTCACCTGGAACTTGTTAGAGGGAGAAAAGTCCTTGGATGATTTTGAAGACAGAGTGTGTCACCGGACTGAGCTGCAGAACAGTGAGTTCAAAGCTACAATGAGCAACTTGCTGGCCTACATAAAACACCACCGAGGCCAAGACGAGGAGGCGCTGGAATGCTTACGGGAAGCCGAAAGGTTAATCCAGCAACAGTACCCTGGCCAAGCGGAAATCCGAAGTCTGGTCACCTGGGGCAACTATGCCTGGGTCTACTATCACATGGGCAGACGCTCAGACGCTCAAGTGTATGTAGACAAGGTCAGAGAAGTGTGCAAGAAGTTTTCCAGCCCCTACAGAATGGAGAGCCCTGAGATGGATTGTGAGGAAGGGTGGTCACTGTTGAAGTGTGGAGGAAAGTACACGGAAAGGGCAAAGGTGTGTTTTGAGAAGTGTATGGAAAAGACCCCGAATAACCCAGAATTTGCCTCTGGACTGGCAATCTCCAGCTACTGTCTGGATCAATGGCCAGCGCCTCAGAATCCCCTTGATGCACTGAGGGAAGCCATTCAACTAAATCCTGACAACCAGTATATTAAAGTGCTGCTGGCTCTGAAACTTCAAAGGATGAACCAGGAAAGTGAAGGAGAAAGGTTAGTTGAAGAGGCTGTGGAGAAGGCCCCGTGTGCAACAGATGTGCTTCAAGGGGCAGCCATGCTGTACCGGAAAAAAAATGACCTGGACAAAGCTATCGAAATGCTTCAGAAGGCAATAGAAGGCTCCCCAGACAATGCCTACCTGCATTACCACATTGGGGAGTGCTACAGGGCAAAAGTCTGCGAGTTGCAGAAAAGAGGTCAGAACGAAATGCAGGTCCAGGAACTCATAGGGCTCGCGGTGGATCATTTGAAGAGAGCCGATGAGCTCAATGGAAACCTCGCCAATGTCGGCTCCCATCTTGCCTGCCTGTGTGCACAGGCAGGTCGGTATGAAGAAGCAGAGCATTACTTCCAAAAAGAGCTGAGCAGAGAGCTCTCGCCCGTAGATAGGCAAGTGCTCCATCTACGGTGTGGCAACTTTCAGTGGTTCCACATGCATTGTGAGAGCAAGGCCATCCACCACTATATGGAGGGTGCGAAAATAAGTCAGGACCCGAGGGTGACAGAAAAGATTAAAAACAGGCTTCAAACTATTGCCAACAGGCTTTCTAAATATAGCGATGATCCCAAAGCTTTGTATATCTTGGCATTTATTCAGGAGCTGGGTGAAAAAAGGTGTCCAGCAGATGAAAACCAGGAGAGGGATTTGGACTCTGGACGCCTCAGCCCTTCAGCATCTTTAGCAGATGAATGAGAAATCAGGGTGTGGTGCCCATAGGGCTGCTCCTGGGAGGGAGCTGAAACCCCCTCCTCGCAGCTGGAATCAAAATATTTAACAACAGGTATGGCATAGGCATGGACTCAGACACTGGCCGCACTGGATTGGGGTTATGGAAGAACTCTGTTGGGCCAAGTCTTAAGACTTTCATTGCTCAGGGAGTTCCAGAAGGACTAGATTGGTGGTGGTGGTGGGGGGGGCTTGGTAAAAGGGCTATTTCCCATTGACATCTGTCACACTGGTCCATTTTTGTAATGCTTTTCCATCACTGCAGTTATTTGAGGTCCTGTACAGGAATGTGCTATGTCCATCCAAAGACTGGAGGCCAGAGCTTAGTTAGATGGGGCTGGGTGTGCTCGCTCTCTCACTTCTGCCTTCTTTCTCCTTTGCCCCAGATTATCATTAATCTAGAAAGTCCTACACAAAGGCAGTTCAAATGTCCTGTTAACCAAGGTGGGAACATAGTTTGAAAAATAGCAGGCAGTAAGTCAAATCCAGAAGGAACATATCCCGGGGAAATAATGGGGTCAATCACACTACGGAGGTGCAGGAGGCACATGGGGAGATTTTGCCTCCATTCTGCTCTCCCTGTCATCATAATACAACATGTGAAAAGTTAAAAAAAAAGGGGGGGGGGGTTGGGGAGGGGATTCTGGTAGAAAACAAAATAATACATTTCTTTAAAACTTGTTTGGAAAAATATATGTCTCACCAGTAGGGATAGGAACAGGGTAGGCAAAAGAGAGAGAGGAATGCTGGTTTGTCATTGTAGGTTGTAATGATATGTAGAATTTTCATTTCCTTAGCCACTATTAGGAAAATTTATTTGTAAAGTGAAGACTTGCTTTGTTTAAAAAAAAAAAAAAAAAATCTTTGATGACCTCAGGTTCAAGATGATAGGAAAACAGCAAAATGGAATTATTTGGTGGCTAAGGACCTAGTTTAAGGTCTTGGAAAATTACATCAATAATGGAAGTTGTCCTCACCATTAGAAACATGGTAAATTTAATGATATAAAACTTCTCTTAACCCTGAAAATTTTTATGAAAACCCCCAAATTAATGAGTCTGGGGTGATTGGAATTTTCTAAGAATTAGTTTAAATTTAAAAGGTGGTTATCTGGGGCTGGAGCAAGAGGGGATAGAAGGTACGCTGTTTAAGGGTACAGGCTTGCAACTAGTTAATAAATACATCCTGGAGCTCTAACACACAGTACAGTGAATGTAGAGAACAATGCTGCGTTATAATCAACCTTGCTAAGACACTAGATCTTAATTATTCCCACTGCAAAAAATAATAATTATATCGCATGAGAGAGATGCTGTCAAACAATGGCAATCATATTACATTATAGAAATGTATCAAATCAACATGCTCTAAACCTTAAATTGACACAGTGTTATATGTTAAATATGTTTCAATAAAATTAAGTATATGTAACATTTTTATTAAGCAATTAACATTATATGCAATTCAAGGTTCTTTTTAAATTAAAAATTCCAACTGCTGTAACAATGGTTTTGTGTTATTTTCTGTATCAAAAATAATGTGTGCCCCGAGACCATCAGTCTGCACATACGGGTTCCTGAAAAAAGTCGTAGATTTAATTAATTAATAATTTATATGTGATGGAACATAAAGGCGCGTTCTGGTTTTTCTGAAATTTTGATGCACCTTAACTCTTCCAGACTCAGCTACAGATAAATGAAATGTTACACTGGATATGAACTGACTCCAATAACCCAGGCTGGTTTCACAGCATAGCCACTGAAAAAAAAAAAACCTGTTTTTTTCCTACAGTTTTCTTACGAGTCTACCCTAGTACCCACCACCATGCCCCTTGTCCACGCAAACACCCTGCCCCACACTGACAGTGGGTGGGCTGCTGTCCTACTCTGTTATGGGGGGTGTCCAGCCCACGGGCCCTAAAGGGATCTGCAAATCATTTGGTCGGGCTCTGCCAAGGCAACCGCAGTTCCAGCCATCATATTAGGGGTGAGTTAATTGTTTGACCAAATATAGCAGGCTAATTTTTAATGGTTGATAATTTTGTATGGCCCTTGAATGATGTTATAAATACCCAAATGGCCCTTGGCAGAAAAAAGGTTCCCCACCCCTGGTCTAGAAGTTTAAATATTCAGGTTTCACGTGTTTGCAGCGGCCATGCCTATTCTGGCCACTGACTAGCTCCCAGGTGTGACTGAGGGAAAAGCACCTTCCCACGTCACTCAGACCTTACTAGGCACGCATCCAAACTGCCTTTATCCAGTCCCTTCCCCCATCAATCAGGGAACAGACTTGGAAAATGCAGCTTTTTGGCAAAGCTGCATAAATGGCATGCCCATTTTACCTAGCTTCCCCTTTACCCTTTCCCATTAAATAATAACCAGGTTATTGCAAAGGCATCAATACCACCAGGAACAGAACCATAAAAGGAATAAGGCAGAAAGAGTAGACAACAGATGTATGAGTTTGCTCAGTGGTTAGAGCCTTGGCCCGTGGACTGAAGGGTCCCGGGTTCGGTTTCAGCCAAGGGCACATACCTCGGTTGCAGGCTCGATCCCTGGCCCCGGTCGTGGCACGTGCAGGAGGCAAACCGATGGATGGGTCTCTCTCACATCGATGTTTCTCTCCCTCCCACTCTCTCTGAAAAGCAATGGAAAAAATATCCTCAGGTGAGGGTTAAAAAAAACTGAGTGCCCGGCCGGGCGAGGCTCAGTGGTTGAGCATCAACCTAGGATCCAGAAGATCGCGGTTCAATTCCCAGTCAGGGCACATGCCCGGGTTGCGGGCTTGATCCCCAGTCAGGGGCGTGCAGGAGGCAGCCGATCAATGACTCTCATCATTGATGTTTCTGTCTCTTCCTCTCCCTTCCTCTCTCTGAAATCAATAAAGATATATTTTTTAAAGAGAGAGAGAGAGAGATGTATGATACATTACACTTAATATTTATTTGAGGACTTAAAAACTTAGAGATCATTATGTAATGGAGCCCGATTAATTGGAATGACTTGTAATTCCCTGGCTCTTAACCACCTCTCCCAGGGCAGGACATTTGACTCCCCTCATATGCTCACCCTGGTAAATAACATGCCCCCAATAGGTGCCTCCCAAGTGCTGATGAACTAGTCCATCAGAATTATCTAATCACGTCACCTATTGGTATGGGTCCAGCACCCACAGCCATCCATGTCTTCTCACAAGAGGGCTTCAGTCTGTCTCATCCTTCCCTGTATTTGATGGCGCTGTGAGAGCACCAGCATCTCAGCCGAAGACGCTCTCAAGTGTAATCACACCCATGAAGGAGTGAGGAGAACCCCTCTCATCCTTGTCTAGGTTCCCGGCAGTACGAATGGTTTCTCAGCCTCAGAGCCCTCGGTGAAAGGTTGGTCAGCCTCTGCTTGTAGCCGCTTTTCCCACGGAGCTCAAACAGCCCCTGGAGGCAGCACACCTGAGTCATGCTCCACTTGCATCTTTCTTCCCACCTCATGTCAACTAACTCGTGCAATCTGTGTCCAGTGCGACTGGACACGTCGCAGCATTAGAATCCTGAAGATAAACACAAACAAGACTGTTGGGATCCCTGCCATGTGCACAGTCAACCTTGGACATCAACCTTGGAAATGTGGGTTTCAAATGGAGACCATAAGCTCCTGTCTCCTCTTTCTTTCCCTCCATCCCTCCACCATTTCCCCATCATTTACTTTGGGGAAAGGGGAGTAACTTGGTTAGATAAATTAGAAATTTTCCTTATGATTGACAGTGCAGCTGTCTTATTGCTGGTAATTTACACCTTCTTGGGGGGCTGCAAGCGGGAAAATCATTAATGACTAAAATCCTTAATGTAAAATGGTACAGCAACTTGGGAAAACAGTTTGGCCCTTCCTCAAATTGTTAAACACAACGTTACCATACAACCCAGCAATTCCAACCCCAGGTATGTACCCAAGAGAAATGAAAACATATATTCACATAAACTTATACATGAATGTTCATAGTAGCATTATTCATAATAGCCAAGAAGTGGATCCATCAGTTGATGAACTGATATATTGAATAAGGTATATCCATACAGGGGAATGACATTTGGCCATAAAAATAAATTAAGTACTTATTGATACGTGCTACAACATAGAGGGACCTCGAAAACATTGTGCTAAGTGAAAGATATATGGTAGGCAGTTAGACAGATATGAGATGATGGGCCAGGTACAGGAGGTCACCAGGGTGGAAAGCCCCTTGGGTGCCTAGCAAAGGGCAATTGTAGGGTGGGACCTTGCCCCCAGGTTGATCTTTCCTTCCCTAGCATATCGTTGGTCGTGCGGTTTGGACCCCCTGACCTTTCCTCCCTAGAGATAACATCTAGGCCTCATTGTATTTCAGCTCCAGGCCCCGAAGAGCAACAAAACCAGACCAGTGACCCCACAGCTGACCTCAGGACCAGCTACGTTGGATAATGACCCCCTGCCCCTGGCACCGACCAATCAGTGGAGACCTAGACCCTGAAAGGACACACTTGGAAAGCTGATGAATATTCTATGGAGATCTTCCCCTAGGACCACCCCTAAAATCTCCACCCTTACCTTAGGAGGAGTACCCAGCGGTGCTCTTCCTCCCAGGAGCCGGAGCCTTTCCCTTTCCTTTCTTCTTCCCCCCTCCCCCTGGCTCCCATGCAGGTTACTATTAGCTTCCTTACTCCCAAGCTCCAAGGCCCCTTCCTTTGCCTCTATAACTTGTTTCTTAAGCCCATTTCTTCTACGAATTACTTCTTCTATCTTTGTGATTTTACAAATAAATGTTATCTTACAGTTTGAGTCTTGGCTCTGAATTCTTTCCTAGCCAGAACTCAAGTACTGAGGTTGCTGAACCCAGGTCCAGTGTGACCCCACCGGTTTAACACTTGGTGTGGTTCCCACCACCTACAACAGAAACCAGTCACAAAAGGTCACATACTGTATGATTCTTTTCATATGAAATGTCCAGCGTAAGCAAATATATAACCAGAAAGTAGATTAGTGGTTGCCTAGGGCCAGGAAGGATGGTAGGACTGGAGGTGATAATAAATGGGGTGTGGAGTTTCTTTGGGGGGTAATGAAAATATTCTAAAATTGTGACCTGGCCAGGTTGCTCAGTTGGTTAGAGTATTGTCCCGATGCACCAAGGTTGTGGGTTTGATACCTGGTCAGGGCACAGTCAAGAATCAACCAGTGAATGCATAAACAAGTGGAACAGCAAATCAGTGTTTCTCTCTCCCTTCCTCTCTTTCTAAAATCAATAAAAAATAAATTTTAAAAATTGATTGTGATGATGGTTGCACAGCTCTGTGAAATGCTGAAACTATTGAATTTTATACTTAAATGGGTGGGTTGTATGGTCTGTGAATTACATTTTAACTGTTTTAAAAATGAGTACTCTTAAGAAAGCAATCTTTTCTTTCATCACCTATTTTTAACCTCTAATTCTCTTAGGGAGTTAAGGGAGAGGTAAAAGCTTTGCTTGAGTTTTTTGGGCCTTGATTGTCTTCATCTCAAAACAGTGTACATGCCAAAGTGGCACATTT